CATATAGTCCCGACCTGTCCTAACGATTTCTCTACTTTCCCGAAAATTAAAAACAGACTGCGTGATCGAAGGTTCCAGTCAACAGAAGGAGCAGTTGACGCATTCAAAAATGCCGTTTTGGATCTGCCAGCAAACGAGCGGAATAAGTGCTTCGAAAATTGGTTCGATCGCATGCAGATGTGTATTAATCTTGGTGGAGAACACTTCGAAAAACAATAAAGTCATTTAAAACTACCTACGGTGTTGTTTTATTTCCATATGCAAAACTTAAAAGACACCCCTCGTATTTAGATTTTCTTCGACAAAATCTGCCACAATTATTAGAAGATGTTCCTCTCAATGCGAGACAGAATATGTGGTTCCTACATGATGGGGCTTCACCACATTTCAGATTAAATGCCTAAATAATTAGTTTCCGAATAGATGGATAGGCCTGCTCACTCCCCGGACTTAACGTCTTGCGATTTTTTTCTGTGAGGCTATTTGAAATCATGATGGAGCAGTAAGTACTCTGGAACAAACGGGGACAATTTTGAACAGTTTTTATAAAAACGGTATCCATTTAACTTGATAATGATTTTTTAAATAATTTTTAAACTAACTCTCTTATTATGCAATTTTTGGATAGCTGGTTTTTGGTATATCAACTTGTCTTGACGAGTTCTAGAAGCTGTTAAAATAAATGACTGAGCTTAGAAACCACCAAGTTTTATTTTTCAAGGTGCCCCCCTTCCGTTTTGAGCTGGGTACGCCCTACATTTATATGAACTACTACTACTTAAATTTGGTTTAGAAATGTGCCCTTGTAATTACCACATATACTAAGTTACATATAAATCCGAACACCCAGTTTAAATGGTTTTATTTTAATAAAATTTTGTATAAGTACTTAACGAAGCATAATAAGTGAATGATAAAAATTTCAAAATGATTGCACTGCTTTAAAGCCCTTTGACCTTTAATAATGTGTGGATGCACCCTGATGTGCTACGCATTCTCCAACGCGCCTAAACTCTGGGCGCTGAAGAAAGACATTAAACGTAAACAGTGATCAGCACGTGAACAGATCCCTCGAAAGCATCCATGGATATACTCCAGTCACTTTAGGTCTAAACATCCTCGGCAGTGTATTTCTAGTGAATCCACAGACCCTTTTTCGTGTCATCTTGAGACTAGAAAAAGGATGACTGTTAAAATAAGTTACCTTGATCTTTCATGAGCTCCCAGTACAAAACATCATCGATATATTTTTGATGTAGAAACAATAAATTGGTTTAGAAAATATCCACTTTGAACCTAAATTGACTGGAGTAACATCGATCTACAGACAAATTCAAGGTCACTAGCAGTCGTCGGCGCTCTACGAATCTGCACAGGTTTGGACTTGTAAACGTGATTGTAGATGACACGACAGGCATCTAACAGTTAATTCACGCACAGGATTGCATTGCATACGCATTACGCATTCAGTAGCGTATACTCGTTTTTCGCGAGTGGATCGTTTTGTTTATATATTGCCTAAGATACGATGTCTGACACAGATACAGCCGACGAAGTGGTTGACATCAGCGCAACCCCACCCAAAAAAAGGGCTAAGAAGCTACATTTAAGTGCAAATGAAAAACAAATAATATTAAATATATACAAAAACCAAATTCAAGAAAAACCCGATTTGGTCGTGGACGAAGTTATATGTAAGGTAGCACATATTTCTGGAGTATGTCGGTCCAGTGTTTATAGGATCATTAAGGAATATAGGAGCACTCACTCACTTTCTGAGCCAAAACCGTATCCTGCAAGAAAAAGGATAACGGACGGAGTAAATGACTTTGACAGAACTGCCATCAGGAGGAAAGTGCATAATTTTTTCTTCCGAAATGAGATACCTACAGTAGATAAGATATTAAGATTAGTTAATGCTGATGAGGATCTTCCATCATTTAAAAGAACCACATTCCGAAAACTTTTGAAGGAACTTAATTTTCGATTCTTGAAACGGGGAAGAAACAGTATGTTAATAGAGAAAGAAGAAATTGTTGTGTGGAGAAGGGAATACCTTAGGAAGATTCGGAAGTTTCGCGATGAAAAAAGAAAAATTTACTATTTGGACGAAACGTGGGTGAATGCTGGACATACTCAAGCGAAAGTTTGGGTCGACAAATCAGTAACATCATCAAGGCAGGCTTTTCTAGACGGTCTTTCGGCTGGATTGAAAAATCCTGCAGGTAAGCTCCTTCATCTATCCGGCAATTTAATTTTGATAAATTCGGGCAAATAATATGCTGTGATAGCAGATAATGAGTGATATTCTCCAAAAATGGTGCATTCGCAGTGTAGTCATTAGGAAAAAAACTTCGACCCTCTTTTAAGCGTTATTTTGAAATTTATTATCATTTTTGGGTGCAGTCAATTTGCTTTGAATGGGTTTTGAGAAGTTGCAAACTTCAATTTTATACGTTTTTCAGTTTTTGATCAGCATTCCGTGACTCTTAAATTCAGCTAAATGAACTCAATTGCCTCATTCCTTCAAATTTAATCAATCCATAGTGTAAGGAATAATTTATTTCCAGGAAAAGGCAAACGGCTGATCATTTGTCACCTAGGTAGTGAAGACGGCTTTGTTCCCGAAGCACTGTGGGCCTTTGAATCAAAAAAGACAGGGGACTATCATGAGGAGATGGACGGCAATTCCTTTGAAAATTGGTTCTCCAAAATGTTACTAAAGCAAACATACAACAATGGCTGGCCTCAAAACAGATCGATTTTGATGAAACAATGGTCAAGGGTGAATTGATAAGTATAGTCAATAGACATAAATACAAATACGATTTTAAAATGATCGACGAAATGGCCAAAAAACAAAATAAAACTGTCTTGAGACTGCCACCCTACCATTGTGAGCTCAACCCTATTGAGCTGATTTGGGCCAACATAAAGCAATACGTGGCGTCGAATAATAATACTTATAAATTTTCTGATGTTAAAAATCTCTTTCACATCGCAGTCAATAGAGTTACGGCAGAGGAATGGAAAAACTGTATCCGCCACGTTCGGGAGAAGGTTGAGGTCAAAATGTGGGATTTGGACAATGTCATCGATACCCAAATTGAACCTCTAATAATTCATTTAAACGATTCAGAAGATTCAAGTTGTTCCTCTTCTGAATGAGTGCGCGCAGCTTACTTACTAATAACTAAAAAGTGTAGTTAACTCATTTGTGAATCTCTAACTGAAATTTACTGTAAAAGATAATAATTATCTTGTATGAAATTTTTGATGACTACCCATAATATCTTGATGCGGTCCTGTAATGTCTCCTGCGCCTAAACACTCACTCACGAGCAATATGCGTGTATTTGTTTGGGTTTAGTTTCTTTCTTCAGCGCCTAGAGTATAGGCATGCTTCTGATCAGGTGGTCAATGTCCTCCTGTGGTATCTCATTCCAGGCAACCACCAACTCCTCTCGAAGTGCTTCTAGAGTCTGAGGAGGACGTTGCAAATTGAGCAATCTCCTACCCATCATATCCCACACGTGCTCAATTGGGGATAAGTCGGGAGATCTTGATGGCCATGGTAACAATGTGACATCATTATGTTGAAAGAAGTCTATTGTGACTCTTGCAACATGTGGTTGGATCTGCCAGGGTGTCAAGATAGGGTAAAAGATGGGGTTCTAGAACTTCGTGGATATAACGCTGCGCGTTCATGTTACCTCTGATGAAGATTAAAGGTGACCTGGAACCATAAGCTATAGCACCCCAAACCATAACTCCAACAGTGTGATCAACATGTCTTTCAACAAAAAACTGTGGATTCCTCCTTTCACCACGTCGCCTTCTAAACCTGGCACGACATTGTGCATGCCTAAACAAAATCGAGACTCGTCACTAAAGTTCCATTCCTGATCCCAGAGTGACCACTCCAGGAGGACCCAGTGTGGCCGGTATGAAAACAAGCCAAAACTTCTCATTCGTTGGTAAACACTTCGCATGCCAATAGGTCTTCCGTGTTCTGCAAACCATTCATTTGCAATGGACCTGGAAGTGGAGAAACGGTCCCTTAGGGCCAATAATCTTAGGCGGCGATCTTCACGGTCTGTTGTTCTACGGCGGCGTCCAGTGCCCCTTGCTCTTTGCGTACGGCCTTCTCGAAGCCATGCCCGACAACACCTAACCACAGTGTCTACACTTCTTTGCACTCTAACTGCAATTGCCCGAAAAGAAAGTCCAGCTTCCCGAAGTCCCACTATACGGCCCCTATCAAACTCACTAAGTTGACGAAGTCGTACAGGTCTCCGTATTCTAGGCATCGTAACCGATCGTAAAGGATGTCAAGAACCGAAATCCGCCAACGTTGATTTTTTACTGCGGCTGAAATATTCATTTTTAGAGCGTTAGTGAATTAAAAAAAGCAGTATACAAACCAGAATGTCCAACTGATAAGGCTGAATATTTTTTCACTTGTTATTTACAGTAAGATAAATACATTCACCAACTTTTATTAAAATAAAACCATTTAAACTGGGTGTTCGGATTTATATGTCACTTAGTATATTTGAGTAGGATATGAAAGTAGAAAACGGTGCAATAACAAATTTAATATTCCGGTACGAGATTTTTCTCGACCTAAGATGTATTATAAACAATAATACCTTCCTAACAATAAAGATACTCTATAAATAAGCCTCTATTAGGACTAAAAGTTGTACATCTACACACAGGTACTAAGTAAATTATCGTTCTAGTTCGTACAAAAAACATCTGATAAACTTGATCAAATTATAACAATTGAGAAAACTCGTTGCGGGGATTGATGACGGGCATTAAGAGAGTCTTTTGTACGATGAGTTGCGATGGCAGTGTGGAAAAAAACGTGTGGTGTTGTTGCCTGTAGTGTGCTTTGTGATTAAAACAAAACAAAGCTGGTAACATTCGTTAATACATCGACAAAATGAAACAAACGGTGTGCGCATGCTTATATTTTTTAGATAGATCCTTACCTGGCACTGTGACTCAACAGAATGATATTTCTGTAACAAGGGATAGCTGGCGTTAATATACATACTATCGTTTATGGTTATTTGGTAGCGTATATACATTAGAAATACAAAGCAGAGTCAAAATCAATTCCCTATTTGTTAAAATTACAGCCGATGAATGTTGTGCCAAAGCTTTTAGGACATGCGTTGTTATTTAAATAGTGCAGTGAACCTCATCGTGTTCCCATACTGAAAATAACTAGGATTTTTAAAAGGCAATTTATACATTTTTTAGTTTAAATGAAACTTCGAAATTCGTCAACATGTGGGCAGCTGGACTATCAACATAGGCTGCAGCTGGCCCAGTATAGATAGATTCTGCTTTGTACGTGGAAACAAGAAGTGAAGGCACGAGACCTAATTCTTCAAATTGAAAAGTAGTCAAATTCAAACTAAGTAAAACAATGCTTACGCGTCGAGCACGATAGCGGTGGCGCGTACAAGTTGTAACCTTTTCAAACCTGCGTGATCTACATTAGCGAAGATTGTCAAATACGTATGTATGTAATACATATTCAAAGACATGTCGGATTACGGGGGGCGGGGGCTTTGACAGGGGCGGGATTATCGGGGGTCCAATGTAGTAGATTTTACGATAAGTTCTTAGCCTGAATAATGGTTATTAGATCTATGATAACCTATGGATCTGTAGCTTGGTGGGGCAAGGCAGCACAAAGAACTAAGCACAATACAGAGGGAAGCTTGTTTGTTGATTACTGGTGCCTTTCGTACCACACCAACTGCAGCTATGGGGTTCCTTCTTAATTTACCCCTTGCACATATACCTGGACACGCTGGTGGACTTACAACACCACCACAGTCTGCGAATTCCTCTTGATATAATGCCAAAGATAACAAGATATGCTTAACCCTACTCAGTGACAATTCCACAAGTTAACCTGATAAGGAGAGATATATGTGCATACACAGATGGCTCCAAGACCGAGGTGTTTGAGCTGGTATCTTCGTGCCGAAGCTAAAGATTAAAAAATCTGTTAGCCTAATAACCTGGGCATCGATCTTCCAGGCAGAGCGATACTTATACAGGGTGTTTCAGTTTATTGTTGCATAACTTTAAGATTCGATAGAACTTTTAAAATTAATGCATAAAGTCTATATAAACGTGGGTCGAAAAATGCCTGGCTGGTGTTTAAATTTACTTTATAAAATATTTTTTTTTAAATATTTCGAACAATATTTGATGTATAACAGTGAAAATTGGTATACAAGGGTTTTTTGGTACGACAAAACGAACCATGGTCATAGTTTTACTGTAGCCGCTAGAGGGCGCTCTCTACTGTACCTGTAGTGTATTAAAATGACCGAAAAAATTTTGTTAGTGCAATTTTTTGCTTTTTGAATAAAAAAACTGATTCTTCGCACTTTTCAACATAAAAAAGCTCTCTTGTGAATTTTCGTTATAGTTAGTCGTTTTTGAGATATTTCGATTTTTAGGGTTCAATGCATTTTTAATTATTTATGATAAAATAACGTTAAAAAGTCAGTATCTCGATAATTTTTAGAAGTAGGCTGTGCCTGCAAATATTTTTGAAATTGAAAGCAGAATAAGGTTACACGTCAATTAGTTGACAGTTAGTTTTGTTGTCTGTTGAAACCTGAAACGTTTTTTTGCAATTGTGAATGCACGAAATTTAGTTTCTTTTACCTGTTTTTTTTTTGTAAGTTTTATAAAAATGCCATTTTTATTCTCCAATCAAGAGTTAGCGGATATTCATTTTCTGTATGGATTTGTAAATGGAAACGCAGCAGAAGCAGCCAGAGAATACGCACGAAGATTTCCAAATAGACGACATCCAACTCGCTCAGTATTTGTAAGAGTGCATCGCCAAATAATTGAAAATGGTTTTGGAAATCTCCAAAGGGATCAAAACATAACTGTTCGTCAGCGCAGATTTACCCGTATGATTCTGCGTGAGTTTGATAGAGATCCGACCACAAGTGTTAGGAGAGTTTCTGGTGCCTTGGGAATTTCAGCAAGCCATGTTCACCGTGTTCTTAGAAATGACCATAGACGTCCTTACCATTTGCAACCTGTGCAAGGACTACAGCCAGGGGACGGAGAACGAAGAATCACATTTTGTCAGTGGATTCTTGATAGAACTGATAATAATAGGGAGTTTTTAAGTAACGTTTTATGGACCGATGAGTCATGCTTCACTAGACGTGGAGTGGTAAATTTTCATAATCAACATATTTGGTCGCATGAAAATCCGCATGCAGTTCGGGAAAGAAATTTTCAGCATGAATTTAGTGTGAACGTGTGGATTGGTACCTACCGTAATCGAATATTTGGACCCTACCTTTTGCCTGCAAGGTTAAAAGCTGCGACCTTCTTGGAATTTTTAAAGTCTGAACATGCAAATATGTGGGATGATGTTATGTTAGATTTAAGAAGATTGGCCTGGTTCCACTTGATGGTTGTCCAGCTCATTATTCCAGAATAGTTAGAAACTGGCTGGACAAAAATTATCCAGAAAGATGGATCGGCCGTGGAGGACCAGTCGCCTGGCCTCCACGATCCCCTGACCTAAATCCATTAGATTTCTTTGTGTGGGGATTTCTAAAAGAAAAAGTGTACCAGACTCCCGTAACCACAAGAGATATGCTAATAAACAGAATGAGGAATGCATGTGTTGAAATAAGGCCTTATTTGAATAATGCTATACAACGTATCATTCGTAGATGTGAATTGTGTATTGAACATTTCGAGCAACTACTTTAGAATTTGTATGTTTCTCCTAACTATACAATAGCATTTTAGTTGTAAATAATTAATTTAATTTGTTAAAAATAATATTGGAAAATTAAACAAATTAATATTCTGTTTTTTTGTGTTTATTTGGAGTTAGGAATTATTGCTGTGTTTAAAAACAAAATCTAAACGATCATCTTAATTACGTGTAATGCCCAAATCGAAAATGTAAAAAAATATTATTTTCCCATAAATAATTAAAAATGCATCGAACCCTAAAAATCGAAATATCTCAAAAACGGCTAACTATAACGAAAACTCACAAGAGAGCTTTTTTATGCAGAAAAGTGCGAAAAATCAGTTTTTTTATTCAAAAAACAAAAAATTGCAGCAAGAAAAAATTTTCGGTCATTTTAATACACTACAGGTACAGTAGAGAGCGCCCTCTAGCGGCTACAGTAAAACTATGACCATGGTTCGTTTTGTCGTACCAAAAAACCCTTGTATACCAATTTTCACTGTTATACATCAAATATTGTTCGAAATATTTAAAAAAAACTATTTTAGAAAGTAAATTTAAACACCCTGTATTTCGGAGGCCACGCATTTTTCGACCCATGTTTATATAGACTTTATGCATTAATTTTAAAAGTTCTATCGAATCTTAAAGTTATGCAACAATAAACTGAAACACCCTGTATAACTGGGTGCCAGAATGATCGCAGATTCAGATAGTCAAGCCGCACTTAAAGCACTTAACTCCACCTACTCGACATCGAAATTAGTGTGGAATTGCAAAGAAGCTCTAGGTGGCGCAGGGAAGGGAAATAAAGTCCGTTTCATATGAATACCGGACTCACAGCTCTAGAGGGAAACGAGACAGCTGACACTCTGGTAAAGAGTAGGGCTAGCACACCCTTCGTAGGGCCTGAGCCAGCGATTGTGATCGCATACAATAATCTCTGCAGAGATGGACAGAAAGATCCATCAATACTGAGAGGGATTAGCAGAGCTAACCCATGATAAGGCAACTATACCAATCTTGACAAAGAAGGTAACAGACTCTTTGCTGAACAGGCTCAAAGCTCATTGCAAATTGCGTCACCACCTGAGCAGGCTGGACGTGGCGGAAGACGCTGAGTGCAGACTGTGCATGGAGGGAGAAGAAACGGTCAGGCATGTACTCTGCAGATGACCTGCAACTGAATCAGGTACTCGTACAACATACTTGGAGACGTAGTACTCCACGTTGATCGACTTCCTCAGGATTTGGGAAATATAAATAGGTGTGAGCCACAATAGACCAAAGAGTCACAGTGGAGGATCGTTATTGATGCACTCACAAGAGCCTTACCGCCCGATGGCGCCACTATCGCAAGAAAAATCAACTATACTACTACATCGACTATAAGGAGATGGGCAAAACGGTCACTGTGCTCTAGTATGCTGAATTTGGCGAAGAAAAAGTGTTCTTCCACCATCCGCCGTCGCCACGCCCAAATTGGTGAAAAAGTACTTATCGGACCGCTCTCGTATGTCTACCACACTGTAGTGTGATGTTTTGATGGTGAACAATGTTTTTGCGCTAAGTTGCAACTTTTACTATCAATCCGAGGTATTTGCAGGTAACCTTGTTTATCTACACATTTTCTTAAATTGTAAGTTCCTACAGTATATTCAGATAAGAGATAGACCCCATGTAAACAAAAGGTTCGGGTGATTTTCACGCTAACACCGCCGTCTCGACGTAAAACAGGAGCCCTCATTGGTCAATTCGCAATTAAATGCCTATGCCGAGCGGCAGAGCAGTCGTATCAAGGCAGAGTCACATTCAGGTTCAGACGTGTTACGTATGTCGTGTGCATCATTGCAATTTGATATTTCTTTGGACGTTTTCGTTTGTTATCTTATTAAGTTGTTGAGTTTGTCGTTGTTATTGTTATACCTTGTTATTGATTGTTATTGTTATGAACTGCTTGCGCAAAATGCCCAGGAGTACAGATACTGCCGATGAAGTTGTAAACTCCTGTAGTCCACCTAGGAAACGCTCTAAAAAAAGACACCTGAGTGCAGAAATGAAAGAGGTCATTTTGAATATATATAAGATCGAGCGCGAGGAGAACGAGGCATCAACCATCAAAGAAATTGTTGTGAAGGTTTCTCACAAAGTTGGGGTGTGTCGCGCATCAGTGTTTAATGTGTTAAGACAATACAAAAAAATCACACCTTTTCTGAGCCAATGACCAGTAAACATCGCAAAAGTATTGTTAAATCATTG